GAAATGTTTAACCTTCACACTGATAAAACCCTGATTTCATGGTCTGTGAAAATATTTGGAAGGTGACGGCTGGTCTGTGACTGTGAGCAGAATTTCTATTCAACAAACATATCGTGTATATACACAGGGTCAACACCTGAGAAAATGAAACAGTTCACTTGCCTAAATCAGTTAAGTCTTAAACTGATAATCACGTGGGATCACATTTCTGTTGGCTATGGCATTTTCCTTCCACGATTCAGCCTGATGAATCAACTGAAGTCGTGACTCTCTCGATTCGCATGGAAATACACCACTCACTCTTCCATTCGGTAACACTCACCGAATGTCACTTGTTTCCACGGCCTAACTTATGACTTCACACACCAGTACACACTGATACATGATAGTGCTTTCGAGTGTGTCGCAGCCACATTCACATATCACAGTCGTCCTCAAAAGCGGTGATAAACTATCTGACTACAGCAAATGACGACAAGGATTCCTCACACAGATTTCTCAGTTATATCGTCATATCATTTCACTACAATTACAAACATTTGCCTCGTTAGGTGACTCTCAGACAGCTAGTCACAATATAAATCATCCGCTCTGAAAAGCGACGAGAACCTCAGTCATAATAAGACTAAGGTATGACTGACTAGTCGTTTCGATAGGAAATAGTGACTTCAGCCAAACCCCATAATACCTCAGCTCACTCCTATGACTCTCGACCTGTAGTTTATAGTTAATATCCATTATCCGACGACACTTCTATTTATTGAACAATTAGATTGACGAGACATATATAATCTTACTTTCGTTTACCCATGCTCTACAAAACAGTTTAGAGCAAACGACCCCGACGATTACTGTGCACTTCCATCAATGTATTTCCTATTGACGTGCATTTCACACTTAATCTAAGTTATTTTAATAGCGACATGGAGTAGCGTAAGTCTGATGAGTCAGTCCTGAACCACAAACGTGGTATGCAATACAAGAAACTGACGTCGGCTTTGGAGAGAATCTCGATGTGTTTCCGTCATACAGAATGACTAGGACGTACTAAGAATTGTCACGCTTTCTTCGTATTTCTAGTCATACCACTGACAAACTGCACAACAATACTAGTTATTCAAAATCGAATTCAACTTTAAACTCACTACTAGCATGGTACGTTCGCATACAATCGAAAGATAACACTTACTACTCATATAATAGAAAGTAATACGTGAGATATAAACTATCTTTCCAGTTTACGATGCACATCGAAACCAGGAAAGCTAACACTTGCGTTAAAACAAAACACTGATATGTGGTTGAGAATACGTACAATTATTAAAATATGAGAAAATGAAGAACATGTACCAGTTGATATGTGGGAACACTAAGTATTTGAAGTGGAATGTAGTCCAGTGATGAAGAAAGTTTGTTTACTCAAAAACAAGGAAATTGTAGAGGAGATTGAATATGACATGTTCGAAAGTTATTTAGGAATATCGCTTTACAGATGAAGCCAACATCAACTGCTACAAGTTGATAGCTGCTCAGATGTTGATCGGTTATCGTTTCCCACCACTTCCAGATTTACCACCGGTCGACTTCGCCATTCCAGTACCAGCTGGCTTTACAGCCGTCATCATCGAATGTTGTCTATAAGTAACAGTGTTACTGACTGTCTTTGTAACAGTAGTGCTGACACTCAGGCTGGAACCACCTGTCTTCATCTTGGTAGCCAAAGCGTTCGGGTTGGAAAGTGTATTCCTTGGAACAGTCAGCGATTGTGGGACAGGTGTGGTTTTCATTCCTCCAGCCGCTTTTGACACAGTCGTGGTTGTCTTCACATTCTATCCGACAGGCATCTTTTTTTCGTCGTCAACTCTACAAACGAAAGATAAAAAATTCTGTTTCACTCAAACTGCAATCCAACTCCATCATACATACCCACGATGATCTCATTTGTTGTCAAAAATCACCCCATGAGAACTAAATTACTAGTTTTCACAAGAGGCGTCGTTGGCCTTAATGGAATGAGAAGGATAAATTGAGATTTACCATTCAATGTATAACTAGGGAACTCAGCACCTAAACATCCAACACTCCGACGTGTAAAACATCAAACTATAAATCGAATGCATGCAAAGTGAAGTTCACCATAGACTCCACCCTACTCACCTCTGACTCCAGTGTTTCAACCACCAGCTGACGCCTACTAAATTTCATCGAAACACAATACGTATATAAACATCAGGAAGCGAATACGCTTGAAATATGTAGAATAACAGCGTTGATACCAATGAGGAGAGAGTACAGGTGACATCTGAGAACACATTCCTTCACTCTGCACCATATCACCCTTTGTCACTCCTTTTACTACTTTAATGAATATAAACCAGATTGGTGACTCCTAATCTTATCCTATCATGATTACCTGGAATTCAAAAACGAAAATATCAACTACCACATATAAACTCAGGATTGAGATTTGAAAAACAGAATCTTAGATACTAACTCTTCGCAGAATTCAAATCTAAATTTCCTATGATTTAGCTCTCAGCCGACGACAGTATGCACCTACTCTCCTAAACAAAGCTCAGAACTTACCGTACGAATTCCTATTGTTAACACTTAGTACTGACATCACTGAGTCAGTTTGACCATACCTACACATAAAGCACTCGTGACTTACCATAAAGCCTCATCTCTTCGTGAAATACACAACAAGAGAGAATCATTCTACTCAGTGTCAAACATACCTAACAGTAGTCAGCGTACCTCCAGAATGAGATGTTCGCTTTGTGTCACGCTTTGATATATGCATGAGACAGAAATAGATAGGTTGTAGAATCACAAACACATTTACTCAGGCGTGATTGGTTGATGTGTATGTGAGGCTGAATGTCTGGTCACTCACAATCTAAATTTAAAACATCGACAACACCGATCAGATGTCATTTGATTGGCAGACCATCATGATAGTTATTTATCTTGGTGATACTTCTGAAGAAAGGAGAATGTTTATCAAGGCAATCGAGTTAGATTTGTCAATTTTCATAGGGCGTGCGTATGTTAGACAGGTGACAGTGAGCGCAGACAGACGTGTATGAGCCTAGTCACCAACCGGTCATTTGGGTGGTGTTCAAAGAGATATTATTCAAACTGAATGCCTTATGCACTAGGGTAGTAGATTTTCGAGACAACTTGACATCTGAACTGATGAACTGGTAGCAACCGATTTAGGTGAGACATACTGGAGATCATAATTTCATACAATGTAGTGTTGAAAACATCGAAATGTAATTATGGTCATTAAATTATTGGATAGATGTGTTTCAGTAAATAATACTATGTCATGTAATACTACAATAAATGAGAAAACTGGCATCAAGTTACTCAAATGTGATTGCACTAGTCAGGTTTTATACCATTGACAATTGTGTGTGTGTGTGTATCGCAGTTGCATACACTTATATGAATGATATGTATTCATCACAATGAATTCAAAAGCTTCAACAACAAAAGACATGTGTCAAACCATTCAAACTAAATGAGACGTAAATTAAATCGGTTTATGTTAGCTTAGTTCTCACACTGCGATCTACATAGTAACCTGAATATTTATTCAAAATTTGTCGAAAACGGAAATAATTAGAGCCAACATCAGTTTTCGAAAATACTATGGTGATGGTATGGGAAACCAATACGTAATTAGCGAATATTATCATCAAGAGAAGTCAGACTCGCCAGATAAACAGGAACACCCAGGAGAATTCGATTCTGATTAATCGGGGGTATGAAAGAGAACAGGCATAAGGATAAACTTAACTTCTTCATAGCAGTAAGAGCAAGTGTACATCGACTGTTTTCCGTAATGAGGAGGTTACTGTTTTCCAACCTGAGCTTTTGATATTTACTAACATGTCAACATCTCATAAAATGAGTAGTCGGTGATTTATATTTTTATAAAACGAAACAGATATCTTCACCATCTCAGTAGTTGGTGTTATCTTTTGGATTCGCTGTACGGAAATGATGACCTCTCTTATGCAACATAAAATACTAATATTTTTGCAGAGATTTAATTGGCCTCAATTTAACTCATGAACTGACATCGGTCGAAGAACTACTGAAAACGGAGGCGAAATCGGACAGCTATCTAATCCTAGTGTGGGATTCTTCACCCATGACAACAGTGAGGATCGAACGCAGAAGCCTTGAGTTACAAAGCCTCATTTCTGACCATTTATTCACCTGGACGAAATCAAAAGGTCCATGAATCCTAATATATTCCACTTTAGCATGTATGTTGCCATCACCAGCGCACAAGTTTCAACAAAACAAGAACAAAATATGTCTACTGTACTGTACAGCATTGTTCAAAATCAAGTCTCCGTGAAGGATTGGCAGTTCTTGTAGAAGAAGAAGATACTCAATAAGGTTTTCTTGTTCTGTTCAATACATCGAGGGAGAAACGTTATTTAAATGATGAATAAGTTGTCAATATTTTTATATTAATTTAAGAGAGGGTTTACGGTGTAGGCCCGCGAGGCATCTACTTCCTTCCTTACTGGTTGTATTACTGTGTGTGATAGGATTAGCACTACATCACCCCGGAACTGAATCCACACCTCGTTCTGACTAGTGACAATTATACCACTAAATCAACCACGACATTTTATCTAAAACGACTTAGTTTAGAAATGCATACATGTTCCTTTCAATTACCAACTGTTACATATTTTGGATTAGATACGATTTAAAGAAAATAGGTCATACAATTTTTCCCATCATGTATGAAAATGAACTCTGGTCATCATTAAAGATTAACATTGATCAATCAGTTGGAATTAACCTCATGCGATTTACCTGAAAGACCAAAGCCTGATTGACAAGTCAACAATCCACCTATTAATCTTCTTAGCGCGTATATATATACACGGGTTGAAGTGCCTATGACTGTCAAACGAACAAAGCGTTTAATTCGGAAAACACTCAAAGTGAAGAGGAGCTCTTCAGAAATGCCTTCCACTTACCACACTTCACTATTCATATCATGCCTATGCTTGTTCTCGGTTTCGTGTGTTGGTGGGTTAATGAACGATACACTGAGAAACTTGTTGCTGACTCTTCACAATAATGCAAGAGATGATGTTCGAAGTGGATCGCTTAGTGGACAGCCAAAGGCTATTTCTATCAAACACGTGGTAAGTCGAGCGTTTAAATACGATCTCTGTTTTGAGTATTTTTCCGAATGTTGTATATCATGTGTTTCTCTGTTGGACTGCAGGAAACAGTGGAGTGAGAATACTCAGGTGATTCCAGAACATCGACAGTGATGACAGGTACTCACCAATTGGATGAAGATAAGAATTTGTGGACCACTGGATGTCTTCTAACTAGTTGGATGGCTGACACGCTGTCTTATTAAATTGAAAGTTTTCCTATTCAAGTTAGCGTAACACGGATGATTCTAAATTTAGTTTCCACATCGAGAATTACAACACTGATAGCCTTTTAGGATCTCCGCTATATGTGTGTATTAGTTGAAGATACTGTCATGTGAAATGATAACGCTTTTAATCTCCCAATATTGAATTGAAAAATCACACGATATTTTAAATGTTTATAAACCGAATGCTTCTTTTTGAATTGCATGCATTCTCTTTTGTGGTATTCGTCAGAAATACAACATGGAGTTGGAAAAGAAAGCACAGAATTTATCTGATCAATGTCGTGTTGGACATGACACAGACTCAGAGCGTAAAGTTCCTCCATTCACATATGTTGGACAGAATTGGGTGGGTGCAGCAACAGTCGAACTGTAAGATAATCAGTATTTAATTAAATTAATCTTTCATATTTACCATGTTTCATAGCTTTTTCGCTTATTACACAAACCTGAGAAAATTAATTATTTTCGTCGCATATACAACGATATTTCAGATGATGTCACCTTCATTTATTCGTAGTTATTTTGTGTCTCCGGTCGATTGATTTCTATGAGATGAACATGGTCAGTGTCGGTTGATTTTCAGGTTGTGGTGATTCGACGATATCTTGAGATTGACACAGTGTAATTCGATTGATGATGATTGACAGGAGGATACAGGATGCAGATATCCTCCTGTTTCTCGCTTGTCAGCTAGATGCCCCTAGATGTCAAACAAGTGGTGCTTTCCTCATACAGATGATCTCAATGGAGATGCATCTGCATCTAGTTGATGAATCGAAAAGAAGGAGAACTGAGTATGATGTATATCGTGTCACATGGAATGGGTTGTTTTGAACACGATTCAGATAATTATCTGAGTGAATGATAAATATACTGAATGGGAGTAATACTAAGTTGTATACTTCGAGGCTTGTGAGATGACGCGAATTTGAGAAATCTTTTCATACTTCACGATATAGTTGAACACGCGAGATAAATTACGATTTCTAGGGTGAGAGTGATTTCCTCGTCAGTTGTACTTGTCACCTGAGTATGTGTCAGTAATACAGACAATGTTTGGTGTGTACATGACAATGGCTTCCCATGGAATATTATCATCACAGTAATAATCCTTGTATTTATTGGTGTTAAAGTCATAATACCTGTTCCCACAGTTCAATACTGCACTGAAAACAGGAATTTTATGTGTATTTGAACATTCTATTTCGTGTTGTCCAGTGTAAACCGAAATCACACGGTCAGTGATTGGTTGACAAATATAGAGTGTTTGGATATAAATAGCTGTTTGATCAGCTCAAACTATACCTTGACCGTCCTCTGGTACAATAGCTGTAGCCCATAATGATTTAAATGGTATACTATGCTTTAATGAATGGAACGCTGCCATTCAATTATTTGTAGTTGTCACACATGATTCTTAGATCTATAGAATATCGAGATGACTCATTCTCACATCAGTTGCAGAGTGATATCGTATCTTCAATTATACATGTGTTTTGACATGTATTTTGTTCAAGTAATTGATAAGTGATTTGTTATTGTTTTGTTTTTACCATACTTACAATGAAGTGGATTCAATTCATGGTTGAACGAATATAAAAATTATGATTTCTATGGAAGTTATTGTTTCAATGGTCAATGCAATAAATATACACAGGTAAGTAACTGTACAATGATGAACCCGTGTGACATACCACACAGTTTGTTGGTAGAGTAAATATCATTGGGCCAATAGCAGATAATATTACAGAAATAAATCAGTAGGATTTGTGTGAATGTCTTCACAAATGTAACCCACACACAATTTGTGATACAAGGTTTTGTTCTGCTCATAAAAGATGGTGTGGAGTACTTGGATACACGTAGTGCGTCACTGACACAGTGGTACAATGTTCGCCGACCACGGAGGTGATACTGATTTTGGTCCTCGGCCAACGAACGCCTTTATCTCGGGAAGCCAGTAGTAAGACTGGTAAAGAGAGAAGGTTCGGAATGAGGCTATCAACCCCATTCTGTAAAAATTAACACCACTCCTACAGAAAATGCAAGCTTCTCGCTTGAAGCCCTGTGTTCCACTGGGAACGTAAAAGAATAATAGGAATCTTATTTGTAAGGAATATCATAATTTTTATTTGTTAATATTTAGAATTTATTCTTAAATAATATAGTAGTGTACCAATTTCGGGGTAATTAGTGTTGTTCGAATGCAAAGTTGCCATGCTTCCGTCTTTTAATGGGGACGCCAAGTTTGAAGCCAGTGGTCTATCGTATGGAAATGAGCACTCTAACACTCAATAACACTCCTAAGGCAGTCTCATTGATTCTTACGCAATATCATCGTAAATGTCAGATGGTTGTGTGAATTGGCATGGATAGGAATTAAGTGTTACGATAGTTAACTGGAAGGGAGTGAGTAAGGGAGGCTTTATGGCGATTATACAGACACTGAATCCCGTTTTCACTTGTGTTAACATACAAGCTGACTGAAAGACGAAACATCAACCACACCACAATTTGTCAATCTTGAGATTTTCTTTTCTCTTGTCTGTATGTACATGGATTTGTGTAATAGTGTCAGCAATATTCAGCGTTTCTTGAGATACATAGTCTGTGATAATAATATTTCGCTTTTCGTGAGACATTCAAAGACTTGGTGATTGGTCGAATGATAACTTAAATTAGCATACATTCTGTGAATAGATGACCAGACCAGTGCTAACGTCAATCGGTTTGACTGCTATTGATTTCTCTTCGAGTAACTATCGTATTCACTGAGAACTCTACTCCTCCTCCTTCCTGTCCTCCTCCTCCTCATCTTCCACTTCGGTTTGTTCATTTCAGATCGTTTGGCAGAAAACTACTGATATAGGATGTGGCGTCACTGACTGTCCCTCTGCCCCATTTGGATTGAGTATCGTATGCAATTATGGACCTGGGTAGGTTGTCCCAAACCATATTTCACTCCTATTAGTGAGAACTCGTCTTTGTGTAAATACATTAATTCTCACCTGATTAATTATCACTTTCAACGTGATTTACTAATGTCCTGAATCCTGTTTTCATTTTCAGCGGGAGGTACATCGATCAGTATCCATATGAAACAGACCAGACAGGGAAACTATAATCAGCCTTCCATATCACAAACCTGCTTCAAATACACTCATGTTATTCAAATCTCAGTCCAGAAAGTACTCACTTTATTCACTATTCAACATGATGAGAAAGATTCTGACATCGAATAAGTATTGATTTGTTCATCATGGTGTTCAGGATATCGTATTGTCTGTTTGTTTTCTTTTCCGTAATTTCATTTTAACAAATGTCGTGTTTAAAGCAAAAGGTTCCTACGATCAATTTTTTTATTCCCCTGATGAGTTGAATGTACTCACACTTGCTTCTTCTTGTTTTTATTGTTGTTGTTGATGTTCTAATTTACCGAAATATATATATATATATATATATATATATATATATATATATTACTTCTCCACAATGTGTTACATCCACACTTATTTCTCTTCATTACATAATGACTAACCAATGATCACCTAACTCCGTTCGATATCTGCTGATATTTCTTTAACGGTATGAAACAGAAATCGCATTCTCTTGTAGCTGAAATAATGTCCGCGTCAACCGTAAAACAAAAGTGTTCTGTATAGTTTGAAACGAATGTATTCTCTTTTCGATTACTGTCGTCGATCACTGAAGGAATTCCATCAAACTTTCATGTGATAGAAAGAAGTATGATGATGGTATTCACTTGCTGATGTGAGCGGATAGTAGAAATTGAAGAACTCAGTTAGTTATAATCTATATGAGACTGAGTATACGAGAAAATAGTAAAGAAAGATAATTTGAACTCCTAAATATTTTGACTGGGAAACAGTATGATCAGCCCTAAAGCCTCCCTTACTCACTCCTTTCCAGTTAAGTATTCAGATATATAATTGCTACTGAGCCTAATACTCATAACCATCTGACATTTGCAATGATATTGCGTAAGAATCAATGAGGCTGCCTTCGGAGTGTAGTTTAGGCTTAGAGTTCTCGTTTTCCATACGATAGGCCTCTAGCTGCAAACTTGGCGTCCTCATTGGAAGATGGAAGCATGACAACCTGGAATTCGAGCAACACAAATAATCCCTAATTAAGTACACTACTGTATTCCTGAAAAGTAAAATGTCTCACTATTTTCAAATAAAAATTACGGCAATCTCTGCAAATAAGATTTCTATTATTTTTTTACGTTCTTAGTGGAACATAAAGCCTCATTGTGAGGATTCCTTGTCATCATTTGCTGAAGTCAGATAGTTTGTCGCCGTTTATGAGGGTGGTCAAAACTTAATGGCCTCATGCTGAATCCCTCAAAATGCCAGACTGTCGACTTCTCCTTTAGGCATAAACAAGTTCTACACACACTAGTAAGCACTCATGATGCCTGTAGAATTGAGGGAACTAAAACTGAAACTAAGTCTAATGCAAAATACCTCGGATTAGTTATATCTTCCGACCTTACTTGGTCATCTCATATCCAAATGGTTTCCAAGAAAGTGTTTCCTCTAACCTACTACATTAAGAAACTCAGACTAACTGGAGTCCCTCAACCTCTGCTTTCACAATTTGTCAACTCTCGTATCCTACCTATTCTACTTTACTGTTCCCCGTTAGTCTTTCCTGGGTTACTGAAAAAGGACTATACCATCCTGAGAAGGATGTTGAAGGTAGTTAGTAGGACTAGCGGTGTAAAACTCAGTCAGCTCGTCACAACATTAGTGCATAAGCATCTAAATACATACGAGAAATGGTCTAAAACCATACTCTCTGACCCCCAACACCCCCTCTATTCCCAAATCTCTCCTTGCATCTCATCAGGTAGAACCAGAAATCAGTACAAAATAATATATGCTCGTACAACCAAGTATAGGAACTCAACGATACCATATTTGGCCAGCCCGTGTTCTAAGTGACAGAGACAATGTTAGGCGTGAAACTTATGACTTGCTTTGTTGTTAATAACATAATTTTGGCCCTTGTTATTTCCCCCTTATACTCTCTTATTTGTACTCAATAGTGAACAACCTTCTTAAACATACTTAGCTGCTTAAAATTAATTATCGTTGGCCTACTCTTTTTGTACTTTACTCTATTCCTTCTTTTGTATATCTACTGGGTCCGACTATATTATCACTATGATTATTAAAAAATTGTCCTGTCATTAACCATCATGTAATATTAGTTTTGTGGTTGTTCTTTGTTCGGCACTATTTAACTGGCAATCTTGTTTGTGAACGCCACTATCACCATCTTAAAAAATTTTGTATTATGCATCATTACTAACACTACCATGACTAACACTGCATTAGTGCTGACAATAAAAAAAAACACAACCTGAAATGTTTATTTTATGATTGTTTAGTGTTGTTCAGTCAAATTAAGTGATCATCTTAGCTATTAACATTCTTAAGAACAACTCATAATTTCTTCTACGATCATAGCTGTTACTGTTCACCACGCATACACATATCATAGCTCCCATTACCCAGTACTGAAATATTTTTTTTTCATTATTAGTGTTTATCTTCCTTTCTATTTGGTATGTTTTATTTGCATGTTTTTCTTTTCTTTTGTTTTTCTTTGTTATTTCTGCGTTTCGGTTTTTGGTTTATTTTTGTCGTGTTTTTTTATATTTATTTTTTTTGTAATACTCCTTTTTAATGTATGATGAAATTAGATGCAATATTGTAGATATGTGCTGAAAATTCCACACTGTACCACAAGTACTGTTTCTGGAATAAAGCGAATTGTTATGTTATGTTATGAGGGTGACTGTGATATGTAAATGTGGCTCTCAAACACTCGAAAGCACTATCATGTATCAGTCTGCACTTTCATGTGAAGTCGAAAAATAGGTTGTAGAAACAAGCGACCTGCGATGAATGTGATCGAATTGAGGATAGGGTGGTGTATTCTCACGTGAATCGAGATAGTCACGTTCACAGTTGATTTATCATGATGAGTCATCGAAGGGAAATGCCAAGGCCTACAGGAATGTGACTACATGTGGTTATTTGTTTAAAACGAAGCTGATTTTGCGACATTGACTAGTCTCAATTTCGCAGGTGTTGACTCTGGTTGTGTACAGCACACTGAATAGAAATTATGCTCACCATCACACACCAGCTGTCGCTTCCTAATATTTTCACAGAACAATCAGACATTATACATCGATGAAGTCTGGTTCGATTGCTGAATACGGTTTCTGAAAAGTTAGTTTTGTAAGCTTTGGATTTAGTCTTCTGTTATACATGCGTCGTAGGAAGTGCAACAGCTGAAAATGAATTCGAAATGTTTACTCTTTGAAGCAAATAGTTCACTACCCTACCTCTAGAGGCATACCTTGACGATATATCTTCCTCACACGAATTACTACTTTTAAGAAGGAAGAGAAGCAGTTGTGATAAGCGAAAGGAACCAGACTTGCAGTCACAATAGTAGGTGTCTTTAACCGATCTCCATTCTTGTCATTATCAACGTTGAAATTCATCTGATCCAATGTGTCTGAATGACTGATATTCGGTTTATTCGTAGCCTGAGTTTTCTTGATTCCAAGAATATATGGATTGTGTCGCGTCTAGGAATAGATCAAACTGACTAGTGTAAGCTGGGTAAATGCAAACAGTGTCATTCCAATATTCATTTCCTGATAGTAAAATCGGCTTTATTGAATTCAACATTATTCACAACACTCGTTTCAATGACTTTACTATCAAGCTATAAACTAGTATAAAAGGTAGAATTTATTTTGAAAGCTATAAGTTTTGAGTTAACATAAACAATATTATTAGCAATGGTGTTAAATGAGATAAACAGTATTTGTAATCACAACCATATTTAAACAGTGTGCGATATCAGTGGGTCTCGTAACATACGAACTTATTCAAATAATCTGTGTAACTTAGAAAGGCGCAAGTAGCATAAACAGAATTACCCGACAAGTGAAACATTATGCAACAGAGTGAGACAAGTCGGTAGATAGATTGACTGAATTTTTAATGTGTGAACTATGCAAACATATACAGTACACTTAGTTCCCTTGATAAATTTCGATAAAGTAAGGAAGACGAAATTTGCAGTATAAAATGATATCATTCTATTTCACAGGTTCTCATCAGCTGCAGACTACCTGAAATTACAATGGTTATATAGATGATAATAACATACTTTAATGTTCGAGTGGTGGTAGAAAAGAGATACTATAAAATTGACGCATCTAAATGAAAGCATTACAATGTTTTTAGTTTAAGTTTTCATCATCAATTTATACGCTTTTAAAGTTGAAAAGAGGGGGAGGGGTAAGACAGAAAACAAAAAAAATTGATTAACAGAACAGTGTTAGCTTTTAGGTTCACATAGCAACTCAAGAAACAAAAACGGTTACAGTTTATGAGATTAAGATTTGTTCAGTGAGTTGAGATCACTGAATTAGATGACTAATCAAAATCAAAATTCTGTTACCAAGGGAGTGAGAGGTTAATCACACTCTCTTTCTGTATGCATAAGTCTGGTTTAAGTCTTTTGATTGCGATTGCTTCGGCAAATCGTAGTAAATTTGCTGTCCTTTGTCTATTTAATATTTTGAAGGACTTAGAAATCTCTACGAGATGTCCGGTATCAATAATGTGTCTGGTAATTGCACTCTGGGAATATCTGCTTCCTTTCAGGCACAGGTTTTTGGGAATATGTTCAGAAAACCGGATAGAAGCCCTTCTTTCTGTCCTTCCAATGTACTTGCTCCCGCAAGTGCACGTGAATTCATAAACGCAGTTGGAGGTGACATCAGCAGGGTATTTATCCAGTTTTGAGTGGATTAAAGAAGGAGTGGTGCTGTATACTGTTATGAGTTTTGCTGCCGGGAAGCTTCTATTTATTGCACCTTTCAGTCTTTTGTCAATCTTTTGTGACACTGCATCTCCTTTGTATGGTAGACAGATAAACACTTTTTTCTTTTCTACAGTTGGATGCTTTTCTTTCTCATCTTTTTCTCTGCTGTACTTCTGAATAAATCCCTTAGG